CCCCCTTTGAACCATTTTGAGATATCCATTTTTGGCTAACGGACCATGAAATTTCTTAAAGGGGCCTTCGGCGCCAATATATACTAATTTTAAGGGGTAGCACGTCCCCTCGAGAAAACCCTAGATCCGCCCTTGTTTAGAACAGTAACAAGACATTTTTGATGCAACCGATACTTTGTTTCTTTTTATAGGGTGAAAAGTTGAGAGCAATTGTAATTTTCATGGTTTTAAATTGATTCCCGGCGTTTTTATTCGAAGAATATCCCTGTTCGCAGATATCTGCATCATCTATTTCTTATGACGACACATTATCACGTCGACTCGCCGAGACAATCACAATTCCACCGGACAAACGCCAGATACTAGACGCCGCCATGTTGGCTGCTCAATTGGGCGGGAAAGCACTGTCTGCGGCGTCTTCTGCCGGGATGTTGCCGGAATCAGGGAGGAATTTGCCTATGTATTTTCAACGTTAAAACAGAACAATTTCCCAAATAAAAGAAAGCTGTTTTTTAGTTTATGGATGTGAATAGTTCTCTTTTACGGAGACGTTACATCAGTAATTTTTGCACGAAAATCAAATTGACATGAAAAATTTAAAATTCTATTTTATGAAAAATATCAAATTTCTAATTCTACTTGTATAGGGTTAAATTGATTAATTTGTACTAATTTTTCTGTTACATTTAAATGAGAATATATTGTTAGTGAGACTAAGAGTTTCTGAAAAAATATATTGATTATTGACTAAGACATTAAAGGTCTTTTCTACACGCCAGGACAATATTTAAAAAAATCAAAAGCCTAAAAAATTTCAATTGCTTCAAAAATTCAAAACTTAAAAAGATACTCAAAAGCTTTTAAAAAATTTATAAACCTAAACAATTACACAGCCTAAAGCTTTGAAAACTTCAAAAGTTTCAAAAAATTCAAAAGCTTTACAAACTTTAAAAGCTGTAAGAAAATATATAAACGTTTAAAAAATAAATAGCTTATAAAAAACGAAAAAGCTTTACAAATTCAGAAGCTTAAAAAATTCAAAAGCTTCAAAAATTCAAAACCTTAAAAAATGGAAAAACTTAAAAACCTAATTATTAAATCGAAAGATTAAGTATAATCAAAAGCTTACAGATATAAATTTAATATGAAAACTCTCTGCAGTGAGCGGTATAGTTGATGCGGTGAGTGGGAATGAAGGAAGCGGTGGTTCCGGAGGGTCCTCGGGAGGAAGCAGTACCGGAGTCGCCGGAGGAGCTGCAACTGGCGGGAATCAACTGGTAACACGCTAAGTATCGACGCCACCTTTTATTGTTATGTTAGTTTAACGAAGAGGGCTTGCTATTAGTTTCTCGTAAGACCATTTTTATATTGCCACAAGGGGGAATGGCTTTTCGTAGGTGTTCATTCGCATTGTTCATTCTACCATTAGCAGAGCCATTTTATTTTTTTTGTCTTGAGGGGTGCGGAACTGAGGGGTGCAAAAAATTAAAAAACTTTGTCGATACTTCAATTTTAGATTGAGCAAAATGGATTAAGTATTGAAATTGAAGCAAAGGGGATCTAATGTGAAGTTGTAACAATCGGAATCAAAAATAGGGCGGACTATACCCTAGATTCCCCTAACCAGGCAACTGCTTATGAATCACTCTGTCTTTCAACCAAATTTGCATGTTTGGTTGCATGGTTGCTTTTTTGGCTCACAAGAAACTCAAGTTGCGTAGTAGTTAACATGACGAAGCTTCAATTGAACACAATGAACACAATAGTTACAAATTTTCCAATTTTGAACTAATTTCGCAAGTGTTTGTTGTTTTATCTATCCCTATTTTTGATAAAGTTTTAAATTATATGAACTTTAACTGTCTCTTTTTAAATTTTGCGTTGTTCGCCATTTTACAGCCTGGCGCACAGCAACCAGCAGCACCAGAGCCGGAAGAAGAATTGTGTCTGAAAATTGGAGAAGATTGTTATGTCGACTTAGGAAACAGTTCAAATTGGTGACTTCTCGAGTTTTTCTGGCTGAAATTTTTGGGAAGTTTCTGAAAAAAATCATAAAAGTTCTTTTAGATTGGACTTTGAAGACGGAAATACCATCAAAGTTTTTATTTTCAAACTACAATGAAGACGTGCTCTGTTGAACAATAAGGAAGTTGGTCAACCAAGTGAACAATCTCCCTTAAATCAATTCAGGGAGGAGGCAGTTAACTTGGTTTAAAGTTTTTTTTTGAACGAATCAGCTTTGAGCACAATGCATGCATGCAGGGGCAAATTTAGGGGAGGGGAATGTGGGGCGGACGCCCTCCTCTTCGGGGATTTGACCACCTGCCGACGCAAAGGATCCCCCTTTGTACTATTTTGAGAAATCAGTTTTCGGCGGACGCTAAAATTTTTCGGCGGACCCTAAAATCAATTTTTGGTGGACCCTAAAATTTTCTAAAGGCACCTTTGGCGCCAATATATACTAATTTTGAAGGTGGAGCGCGCCTTAAATAGACTAGATATATCCTGAAAAAAACTAGATTGTATATTGGTGACATTTTTTTAAATAGCTGTTGGTGATCACAGGCTGGACAAATTTATTTTAACTTAGTAAATCTTTTAATGAGATTTTTTTGTTCTTCGAAGAGTTCATTAGGTAACTTCACACAAAATTGCAATTGTTGCAAAAACGGGCATCACAGCTTGCTACAATTTGTGAAAAAATCTCAAAATTGTGGTGAAAAAGAGGTCTTTTTTGGCAAAAACTGTTTGTTTTAGGCAGATAAAAACACTTTTAATACATGATCAAAGCGTTTCAGCATTTTGGGAGCCTAAATTTGAACGGGTTCTTTGTAGTCGATTGCTGCGACGGAGCCTACTGCCAATTGAAAGGCGAAAGTCTTGGAGTTTGCAAAGATAACGACAAACAGCAGGATATTTATGAAAAGATGACAAGGCCCAAGAAACCCGCGCCTGTGTCGAGTACCGGTGCTGCCATTCCAGCTCCTACCGTAGCACCAGTTGTTTCCGGAGCTGTGCCAGAAACTCCCGCAACTACCGGGACAACAACACTATCCAGTGACTCTAGCGCGACAACATCTTCAGGAGCCGCAGGGTCTGCTGAAACGACATCTGCGGCTCCGGCTGCCGGTGAAACCACCTCCACTGGATCAGAGGCGGCGACAACTCCTGTAGCAGGAGAAACAGCGGCAAAAACAGCCACAGCAAGCAGTGCAGCGCGACGGCAGGAAGCAATATATAATACTCCCAATGAACCATATGATATGAACATTTTCAGAGCTGTTTCGCAGCCTTCAGATAAAAACCCCGCAGAAGCTTCTGTAAAATATGAAAGAATGAACAAACCTATCCAAAACCAAGCGGTCGGTTTTAAAAACGAAGCTCCACAATTGGTTCATAGTAATGAATTGCTGTTAACGAGTTCAAAAATTGACGAAAAACTGTCACAGAAAGGTTTTCTACCGGAAACTTTGTCAACGACAATCGATCCTGGCTCTGAACTCGCAAAACGGTCAGCTAGTCGTTATGTTTCGAAATTTTCAGGCCCGCTAATGAAACGATTTCAAAATATGATTTCAACCGTGAACAAAAGAGTGGCTCAGATTCCGAAAGTCAATGCTGAGAAAATGGAGGCACATGAACGAAATAAAACCAATCGTGTTTATGGCCTAGACGAACTGACGCCTAGCAGCAATTGAATTTTTATTTGTTCATCTTATAGATAAACAAAAGCTCATTATCACTGAGACAATAAAAATCAACCTTTTGGCAGTCAGGATCTTTTTTTGTCTTATTCGGAGAATTGAATTCATATAAGGTGTTAGAAATTCGAAAAACTTTCACAATTTTTTTTTCATTTACAATAGCATTATTTATAAAATTCAAGTAATCATCTGCAATTAAAAAACAACTGGCTTTAGTATTTTCGATTTGTTAGTGCCCGTTACTCGTACTGGAAAAATGTGGGAAAGCGAACTGGCAGCAAAAAATACAATAGAGTTTATATAGAGAATGTAGAAACGGCCTGAAAAATATCGAATTCTATCAATTAAAACTGATTTAGTTCAATTCGAAAAGGTAGCTGAAAACAATCTTTTTCAATCGACACTAAAGAATTCTACCCAAATATAGTAAGTTGATTCTAACGTTTACTAACTGCATTTTCAAACACACTAAAATATTCTCGAGGAGAAGATTTCTGGAAAAAAATCTGAAGTTTGATGACGTTTTTGTACGTCGATCAAAATGAGTTTCTCGGCCTTCTTAAAACATTATTGAAAGACAAACAAACCGGAAACCAAAATTTATGATTAATTTGGATGATTTTGACGACGGAAATATTTTTATTGGCGCCCCATTGACGCCTTATTTTTAGATCGATGCCCTTAGAAAATTTTAATGTCGGTCAGCAAAAACTGGTTGTCTTAAAATAGTGCCAGAGTCATGCCATTTGAATAGACAGATCCCATCAACAACTCGGGCCACAGCCCTCCTATCTAAATCTGCTGTTGATTACATTAACTGCATTGGAACTTTTCCCGTACTGAAAAAAATAGGAAAAATCAGAGATGCCCAGTGTTAATCCATTCGTTTTGGGATTGTATATTTGTCCTGAACTTCAACACACATGTTCAGACCTAAATTAGCTACGTATTTTTTTTAAATTTCGAATTGGGTTTCAACTTTGTTATGAATCTTGTTTTCAGTACAAATAGCCACTTTGACTACAAAGAGGCCAAACACAATAAAAATCGTTAAACTTCACGCCATTTTACGTGTAAAAGTAAAATCTACAAAGTAAGACTTTTGACTGATGTCATTGTAATAACTCTGTTTCAAAAACTAGTTGGCTCAAAAAAACCAGCTCAAAAAAACTTTTTTTCTCATATTGCAAATTGATGCCGACAGCCTGAAGAGTTTAAAAAAATCGTTTGCTTTTGAAAAGTATTCATTGTTTAGCAGGTGTTTGATTTGTTTCACCTGACTTTATGTCCCATCGTTTTAATAAGTTTTTTTACAGATTGTTTCTTGTACGCCAAGTGCAAGTGCGAATAGGAACTGGCGCTATGAGAGGGGGTTTTTCTTTGGAGTTGACAGTGACGGGGAACCACGTTGGATGACTTTGCACTGTGCCCACGACTGGTGCGACCGAAGGAAAATTAATCACGACCGGCGCGACAAAAGGAAAGTTGACAGCGACCTGTGCGACCGTAGCAAATTTAACAGCAATCGGGGAAAAACGCAGTAGTAGACTCGGGGAAGGCAGACGCCCCACCCATCCCCCTCCCTCAGGGATCCGACCTGGAAAAATCAGAATGGGCCGTGTTTGATATCAAATTAAAAACGTCGCAGCCATGTTTAGTTTTTAAAAGCTCAATCTTTTATATTTCAGCTGTGAAAAAGTTGTCTTTAGAGCTTAGCTAAGCGCTTCTCCAGTTAAAAAAAGAATGATAAGTAAGTTGAAATAGTTTTTACATGGTATCACTCATATTGAAATCTTCTTTTAAATTGCCATGAAAAAAAGCTTGCATGTTAAGCTAAGATTTGAAAGAACGCTTATGCTGATTTTATTTTCAGCAGTCTCGACTCCTTCACCAACCAAAATGTCCCCCAATATCTGGCCCATGCATGTTCCATGTCTGAATCTGGCCTTGAGCAGGTGTTCATTTGGGAAAAGGTCAATACCTGCCTTAGTCCTGATTTAGACATCTCCATTTACAAACGAAATTTGGGCCATGTCTGCACAAGATCTGAAATAGGCAAAATTTTAGGATGCTTAGATCTGATTTCCAAGTTTTTGTAAGGTAAGGGATTTTGGGTTTCCAAACAGTGCGTGGATTTTTTATTTTAGTTGCTACAGAACAATGAGAAAAATCGAATGTAACTTTGAGGACAAAATTTTCAAAATCTCATCAAAGGGCAATAGCTTAGTGCAACAACATGATGGGCACCTTAAAATGTGTGTTTTTGAATCATACTAAATTTATTTTGAATCACTTTTTGTCCTTACGGGTAGACTAAAATGCGCTTTAATCCAAAATAACTCCTGCAAAATTAGAACCATATTTAGGGCCATAAAATTTTTGAAATGTTTTTGAATGGATTTTGGTAGCTCACGAAATCAATCTGAACCTCATCAGAATCATTTTCATTTGCCCCAACTTTGCTGAAGTCAACATAAACACATCAAAAAATGAGCTAACAAAATATAAAATTAGCCAAACAGAACTGATTTTGCGCCCAATATTTTCCAATGAAAAAACCCCAATAATGTTTTTCTTAATGGTTCCTCTTCTCTCTCTAAACAATTTTTATAAAAATTTTATGAAAATAACAAACCGATAAGAAAAATGACCAGAGTTGTTTCAGTATTCATAGTGATTAACCATATGTTTCAAATTCTCTAGACTCAAACTCATGTCAACAAAAACTGATTCAAACCGATTGAAATTTATTTTGATGGTGTTGAAACAAGCTCATAGTCTCGAATCAATTGAAACAGATTTTAATTTTATTAGCAAGACTGTATAAAAGTTAATAACTTATCTAAAATGCATGAAAAGGGTTTAAAGTTAAGACTATTTTTAAATAAAAAATTAGGATTTATGTCGACGTAGAATCCATTTAAATTGATCTAATTGATTTCCGTAACTATAAAACTCAATCAAATTAATTGATTTGAAATCGTTTAAAACTCACAGTTTTTTTTGCAAAATCTTTCTTCTCTGCGGTTACACCTCTAGGATTTTTCAAACCTAACCATAAGAAGTTACCTGAAAAGAACTGAAAGTTTTTATTTCCTTTTCGAGTCGACAACAAATTATCAGCAATAACTAGCAGCCGAGTCATCACTTTGAAATTAGAAAACAAATAAAGAGTATCCTAAAAACCTAAACATCCCCCAAAAATGTTAAAAATTAAATCATTAACCGCATACTTATCTTTTGAAAGAAAAGTAAGATACCTTTCCGTTTAAATTTCAATTTTTGTGAATATGCTCAGGAAATTTCAGAAAAAAAACGAAAGTTTCTCTTGAAAAATGTGCGTTCTGCAATCTAACAAACCACGTGAGCAACCGCTTAAAACATTCGACGGGGAAAAACATGAAGTGGAAAAAATTGAGCTTCGAAAATCAAATAGTTTTTCTAGCAACTCGAAAAATATATACAGTCGAAGAAGCGACTCTGAAGGCAAACTAAAAATCAATTAACATTGACCACAAAATTTTTTGACAACTAAATTTATTACAACCTAGCACCGATGTGCCAAATTTTTGGATTTTGAGAAATCTACTTTGTATTTGGACGAAAAAAAAAACGTTTTTTTTTGTGTTACTAAGAGGAAAGCTATTTTTTGAAGAAAAATTTGAATTACTTTAAATTTATGAATGTTTCATCTTGTTCACTGTTTTTTTTTCAGTTTGGTCTAGAAATTCGAGCTCCTTGTCCCAAAAGAGAGCCAATTTTTCCAATTTTTGAAACCGAACAGTGATTAAGACGATTTGAAATTGGATCCAGTCCTGAACCTGAAATTTTTTTTGAAGCAGTCAAAACTGGGCAAAACTTCACTTCCCGTTGTAGTTTTTTCTCACTGTCTCCTAAGCGATTTCGTACGAATAAAATCTGTGCGCAAATCACTGCTTAAAATCTCTGTCTGTAGAAAAATCTGTCTCTGTCTACAACTCTATTTTCTAATGAACGTACATATAAATTTTTAACCACAAACATTGCAGGAAAATTTCAAAAACAGTTATCAACAGCCATAAAATCAATAGCCATAGGTGCCGTTTGAATATATTTCTGATTCCGACCTTTGAAACTGACTTTCTTGGGTTCTGGTTTTTTCATTCACTCCGAATGAAGTTGTTTGATTCTATCCGAAAAATTTTGTGAATGAAGTTTTTTGTAAATAGATTTTATTTACTTCGTTATCATTGTTAGATTAATCATATTTTCTTTATGTATTCATATTTCATTTGTACCCTTCTTTCTTTGTTTGTATCTTCCTGTTTCATATATATTTCCAGAGTTGTATATTAACCAAAGTGATATGAAAAAAAACAGTCGAAATTAGAACTATGAAATGGTCGTCGGATTTGCTGACAAGTGAGGGTTGGAGATGTCCGGAAAATAAAAAGAAGAGGGTTACATTTGAAATTAATGGAGTTTTCCTAAGAATAATTACAAACAAGTAGTTTAAAAGGGGGGTTTTGAAAACAATGATTATGAATTGAATACAGTGATTTAGCGAACTATTTACTGTTGAAGTTAAAGCAGTAGAAAGTAACTCTCTCCCAAGCCATCAAGAACCGAAGTCAATTGATTCTTGTCATCAAAAAATGATTAAAATAAAAGTCAAACGGTAAAACTACAAGTAATTTAGGTCATTAAGCAAAATAAAAAGTAACAAGGAATCAAAAAGTCAGTGACAGGTTTTGACGACATGAACTGATGCTTTAAAGGCCATTTCACCTGTGATCATTTTTTGTAACTCATTGTGGTTCGACACTCAGGACGCTTTGATAACTTCAGCCCATCACAACTTATAATCAGGTAATAAAATATCAAAATCACTCCTTTTAAACAACTTAAATGGCATTGATTGGTTTAGATTTTTCTAGTGCAATTGGTTCTTTCCGCTTGAGAAGAGGCTTCATAAGTGACAATTTAATGAGGCCCAGAAAACTTTAAAACGTTCTTTCGATAAGAAGCAACCTATTCGGAAATCTTAATACGGTGCTAAAGGCTAATGAAATCACTTTGCACTTACAATAGAGTGTGGGTGCGAAAAATAATCTGAAAATTCAATTTTCCTAAAAAGATTAACTATTCGTTGGTTATCATGGTGTAGTCATAAAAGACTTGCCCTGATAAAACAGTCTTTCTTAACTTTGCTTTCATACTTAGTACTAATTTTAAAAGTCTATGCTTCTCCACAATTGGTTAAAAGCAAATAAGTTCCCATGCATGCCTACAAAACCCCAAAAGATTTTTTAGTGTATGTATTTTTGTAGGTAAGATTATTGTTAACAGCTAGAGAGTTTGCATTTAGAAACAGATCAAGTTTAAATTCAGATCAAGTGTAAATGAGTTAATGAGGTTTTTTTTTTCTGGTGCACAGTCTCTTGTTTTTGGAGCAATCATGAAAATGAAAGACTGACCGGATAAAATAGAACAAAAAGTTAGTTCATAAAATAGTTCAGAAAATGCGACCAATCGGATGATACTGATTTTGAGTTTCTCGGATTTCTGAGGGATTGGCGAAAACCTGCCGTGACCCATAATTTACCTGAAACCTAAATGACCCAAAAGCTTTCATCCGTAAAATCTTTTGAGCTATGGTAATCGCTTTTTTGACAATAAAATGATTTCTACTTGTAATTTTGAAATCTTGATCTTGGAAGCATTACATGTTTAAAAAAAAACATAAATAACCCAAAACTACTAACTTGCAGTTTAAAAAAGCAGATGCAAAAAAGCTGACGCTAAATTTCAATTTGATCGTCAGCTTTGAACTCAAAAAATTTTTTAAATAAACGAAACCATGGCCCGCCTAGCAAACATGAACAGAGCGGACCTACTTCTAGAGGCTAAAAATAGCTTCATACTAATGGGACAAAATCTTGAAACTCTTGTTATGCATGTAGGACAAAAATCATTTGATAGTAGTCTAATCGAAAAACATTCTAATGAACAGCTCCATGAAACTACTGAGAATACAATTAGACCTCGTAGTGTTGCAGTTTGAAAAACAACTCAAGTAAAACAGTGTTTTTGTTTCGGCAGAGATCAAATTAAACTGAAATTAACATGTTCAAAAATGCGCCGGAAAGTATGTGTTTCGAAATGAATGGTGCATTTCCACGGTTATCAGTTCAGTGAGTAAAAACTAATATCACATGAGCTATTGTTTGTGAGGACTGAGAGTACCCAAATGCCAAAGGCATTCAACTACTAGTCTCGGGCAATTTTTTGAAAACGGTTTAACAATTTCCAATGTAGAAATTAAACCA